ACCACTATTTTTGCAAATGATATATAAGTTTTTTTGGCAAATGTATGAAAATCGATATGAAAAGTACGGATCCAAACCTCTCTCTCTCTCTCTCTCTCTCTCTCGATTGATTCCTTATCCACAGTTTGTTTTTATTGATTTTGGCGAAAATATACTAAACATACAGTAATATGTGCCAAATCCCAGCGATTCTGTTGTGTTACATAACTGGAGCCTAGATTTGCATCAATTTAATGAACAAAATTTGAATATTATTTATTAGAGTGGAGTTTGGCATCGATTATTGATGAAACAAACAGACGGACTGCACAGTCAACGTGTGAGCCAATGGAAAAAATAGTCATTAAATAAATTACAGGGTTTGCAGATATAGAGAGTGAGAGTGAGAGAGGTTTGGATCCGTACTTTTCATATCGATTTTCATACATTTGCCAAAAAAACTTATATATCATTTGCAAAAATAGTGGTTCGCATAACAGATAGTGGAAACTGACGATTGAAATGCGATATAAAAATAAGCAAATGAATTATTACATTTTGCCTGAATTATACGATATGCATAATACTTACGTATGTAATAACTCTTTTTTATGATAAAGACATTAAGTGCACTCCAAAATAACATGACATCTGATAAAATGATTTTTTATGCTCAATATATTTGCATTCATTAGAGTTTCTATCGGTTATTCACTATTTTGATGGGCCAGTAGTGGTGGCCGAACACCACCCGCTTAGCCATTGTTATCAAATATCTGATAATAGTATTGCTTGAAAAGTAGGAGTGTATTATATATCGCTTATATTGTTATCTCAAAAAAGTTTTATAACATAGTAAAATAATATTATGGCAAATATAATATCACTATAAAATATTTATGGAAAAACACATTTTATATAATAAAAAAATATTTTATTTATTCTTAGTCTTGTATATCTTATGTAAAAGCACTGGTACTCTCAGCCTTGACATCCATTATATTCATGAAAACTCATTATTATAAATAATTAATTCAAACCCAACTCTATTGACCCCAATATCAAAGCTATAAAGCTCACTATAATTTATGATTCTCGCACAAAACGACTCATTAATTAACAATTGATATAATAATAGCAGTGAAAGTCTAATAAACTATAGTTTCGGGGCAGAGGTTCCCAAATTTCGTGTCGCTTATCTGAAAAAACTTTTGCCAAACTTCCAACATTTAAAATGCACTTTTATTTATCAATTATTACATGCTATACGACGGCTACTAATTATCGGTGAGTGACTTAACCACACGTGCAGATGGCTTTCCGCTAATCTATTATAATCTAATTTTTTTTGGTTGGCTATACCACACCCCCGGTTATTGCAAATATTTATATACATTGAATACGAATGGTTTGATTACTTTTTAATATGCATTCCACTGATTAACTCCGTATTCATGTCAATATAATATTGTAATAATAATAAAATGATTTCATTGAGAAAACTAAACGTTAAGTTTTTATTTTTAGTGTTTGTATCCAAAAGGCATTGAATGGATGCAAGAATTTAGTATACAATTCATTAATGACTTCCCGTTTGGACATAAGATTGTGATTACTTGTAATTAACTGAATAAAAACATATAATTTACTCAAACAATGAATACAACACTAAATAAGACATTTAGAGTCGGAAAACGGTGTTCCCAAACAAACTGCCTTTCCATTGATTCCCCACTGCCATTACAAACAGTATTAACTTATACTCTACGAAACCATTACCTCCCTTTCCTATTCATGTCATTTCATATGCAAATTCATATTTTTCCTCTACTTTTCAATTCATAATAAATTCCTTGACTTTTGTCATTTCAAAATAAATTCAGTATTATATTCACTTCATTTGTATGAGAAAATAAAATTTATTACATTATAAAATTACATACACAGTATTAATATACCGTATTATACTCTGAATACTCAAGAATATTAACTGAACCTGTTGATAAAAACAATTTATTTAAAAAAAACTAGTGAATACTTGAAAACTGAGTTTTTATGTTAAATGTTATTTTTATTGAAATTCGTGCGATAAATAAAACAACAAAAGTTTTCTCAAAACCAAATCTAATTGCTAACGGGATTTGACATTATGTTTGTGTTAATCTATTAATCTCTTTTGTTTTTCTATAATTGCCATTTGAATCGATAAATAATCCTTAACTCTCTTTATTGTATAAACCCATAGCCTATGGAATAGAGTTGAAGGCATCGATGCAAATGTGGAGCACAAGAAGTCTGGACTCAATATACAGTGTAAAAGAGGTCTGAGAGGAAGGCTATGCCATGAATATATAGCCAGTAATATAGCGAATGTCAAATAAAAATGATTAGTTCCCATAGAAACTCTATATAATGCTGCAATACGGGGTTGACTTATTGTTTTTAGGACACATTCACAGCAATTTTAACGTCTTAGCAAAAAATTTCTACTTAAATATTGCTTAAAATAATTTTAAATAATTTTAAACATTATGTTTAGCAAAAAATTCTTTACGTGATTATTTAGATTCTTGAAATATTCTCACAATTCTTGTCAGTGTTGTGCAGATTCTTACACTATTGCACATTACGTCCATTTTATACAACATGAAAACACCATTATCATTTACATAAAATCTCAATTATTTAAGTCACTACTAAGGTCAAAGGTCGTATATGCTTAGGTAAGCTTTTATTATTAAAATTTTAATTCAATTTTTACCTAGTTTATTAGGATAGTGACAGAATTGTGCAAAAATGAATTTGTGTACATATTTTCATACAGTACAGATGGCAACCCTATATCAAATACATTGTATAAACCCCTGAAATATTATACTTGAATAACGTATTGCGTTATAAACAGACTGTGAGTGTATTGTGCAGTGAGTGGCACTCAATGTCAATGAGTTTTGACAATTAAATCATAATTTATTGATTCAAATGTTAACTCAAACTACAAATTGATTCATAAACTCGTGTGAAAACCAAATACTCATTGAAATGCACGCAATGAATGCCAACTCATAGCCATAGCATTGAGTGAATCAAAGAAATCGCTACAAAACTAAACGATTCACTCATTTGTTGTGTTGTTTTGACATTTAGTTTATCATATGTTTTGTGTTTATATTCATATATTCAGCGATTAATAGCTAATTGTGTGGACCGTTGGCGGACTGAGAGTCGGCGCTCGCCATCGACAGCCCATTCACCACAACACTCATGAGTGAGCCATCGATGGAAGTGCTCTCCAATAGTGATTACGTTGTCTTAAAGCAAAACCAGTACAGTCTGTGGTGTTCGCGAAGTGTCACTCAAACGGAACCGCTATTTAAGCCAATTATCGGTAATAGTTTGTCACCAATATAGTAGTCAATTATCTCGTAACTGATCCCACGATGTATTGTATGTTATTATCTCATCGACAGTGAACGACAGCACATCGTACGAGTCGTTTGAATGTCACGGTCTGATCCATGGGCTGATCGGTATCTTCCAAACGGACAAACTCCTGCTCATCAAAGAGTGTCAATCCATCGGCTCTTTGCCATCCGATGACAATGTATTCAAAATACAAAGGATTGTTATCATTGGCCTGTCGTCCGGCGAACCCATCGGCGACCTCTCATTATCAGATATTTGATAACAATGGCTAAGCGGGTGGTGTTCGGCCACCACTACTGGCCCATCAAAATAGTGAATAACCGATAGAAACTCTAATGAATGCAAATATATTGAGCATAAAAAATCATTTTTATCAGATGTCATGTTATTTTGGAGTGCATTTAATGTCTTTATCATAAAAAAGAGTTATTACATGAGTATTATGCATATCGTATAATTTAAGCAAAATGTAATAATTCATTTGCTTATTTTTATATCGCATTTCAATCGTCAGTTTCCACTATCTGTTATGCGAACCACTATTTTTGCAAATGATATATAAGTTTTTTGGCAAATGTATGAAAATCGATATGAAAAGTACGGATCCAAACCTCTCTCACTCTCTATATCTGTACCCTGTAATTTATTTAATGACTATTTTTTCCATTGGCTCACACGTTGACTGTGCAGTCCGTCTGTTTGTTTCATCAATAATCGATACCAAACTCCACTCTAATAAATAATATTCAAATTTTGTTCATTAAATTGATGCAAATCTAGGCTCCAGTTATGTAACACAACAGTATCGCTGGGATTTGGCACATATTACTGTATGTTTATTATATTTGCGCCAAAATCAATAAAAACAAACTGTGGATAAGGAATCAATCGAGAGAGAGAGAGAGAGAGAGAGAGAGAGCTTTAGAAAAAATTCTTGTTTCAAAATACTTGAAAGTAATAATCCTAAGATTAATGTATTATATATATATTTTATAAGTTTCTAAAAACTATATTATTTATCGGCTAATCCAGTGAGACATAAAATGCCCGAAAATATAGTTTAGTTTTCCAGACACTCGTCTGTCGTGTTCAGCAAATTGTGTACAAATTGGCGGACAAAACAATATAATTAGTTTACGAATTGGTTCGCAATTCCTATACAATAGAGTGAATCATATTTCGTTCCCCAAAGCTGTTCATTGACTCGATTCACGAGTATTGTTAGAAAACAACTCCTAAATTATAATACCTTAAAAAATCGATAAATTTAAGAACTTTAAGCATTTTATATCATTTTGCGAGCTTTTTCTCATGAAATTTTGAACTATATGTGAAGCTATTTTCAAATAAATTTTGAGTATACTGTTAGATATATGACAGTTATATAACTGTTTCAATGTTTTATAGCTGTTTATCGTAAAAAGAAACCAAATATTATATAACTTCTAAACAAGTATATATTGTTTTGATATTTACTTTGTCGTAGAATTCCGTTGAAAATCAATATACAGAATATTACTTTATTTCAGACCATTTTCGCAATCATAATAAATTGGAAACAGAATTGAAAAAATATTTACTTTTATTGAGTATTATTATGAAAATTTTATATAATAAATTCTTATATATCTAATCTGACATAATATTTACAGAATAATGAATTTTTTTAGTGACAATCGATATGTTTTGTGATAATAAAGTCTTTTTCACATGAATTACAATTAGACATAAAGTCAAAGATCACACACCAGTGTACTATCCATTGACTAATTGGCAATAACTTATGCCTCGTAAACAAAAATCTCATTCAACTGAACACTCAATTTATCTCTGAATAAATATTTTATTAATAAGTTATATAAAACTTGTTTGATATTCACAGCACATCTTTCGCCGCAGTTTTGCTCAAATATTACTCAAATGAATCGATATTTCGCTTTTTTTGTCACACATTTTACACGAGTACACTCCAGAATTTTGTTACCATTAATACAAAAACAACAGTTATTTTAATCTAAAAAAAGTGAAACAAAAATTCCGTGCATTTGTTTGAAAAAATATATAACGAGTAAAATGAATATACATTTTGTAAAATAATGTGTTTTGTTTTGATTTATATATTAATTACACACGAATTCATACATTTATATGTTGAATGGAAATGTAGAAACTTTTTTCGTGAAATTTGTTTGCGTTAAACTTAATTAATTTCTCTGTGTGTCTCTATTTTACATTTGCGGGATTAGTTTTAGTTGTCATCTGTTGTAGAGTTGATATTAATATTAATTGAAATCTGTGTTTGCATTGAATAGTTACTCGAGTAGTTTATTATTCAATTAAACTTCATATACGGCAGTGAATAGAGTAGAGAGTGTTTCTCTCTCTCTCTCCCATTCACTGCAAATCTTATGGTGTATTCAACCACTCATTTGAATAAATAAAATCGTAACAAAAGTCGACATCAAATACCGAGAATGGGAGCAATGAATGGAGACATTATGTATCGCAAAGAGCTCCCATAAAATGCATTTTATATGTAAATCCCTTTTTAAACATGCAATCCAATAGAGATTTACAAATAAAGAGGATTTTGCACTTGAAGTTCATTACTTTTATGATTATAGTCATTACGTCGAGTATTATTGTATTTGAAGAGTATTTTTTCCATACACACAGTCAGACAAAAAAATTTAATAAATTTATAGCAATCAAACAAAATGTAATAACAATTTATGGTTCAACAGTCTTATTGTGCTCAATAGGGTCTGTAGTCTTGGAGTGAGGTCTGGGAACAAATGGCAAGAGATAGTCATAATAATCCATTTCCAGTGATTGATTGTCATCGGCCAACGAGAACTGAGACATAACATCGGTTGGCTCTACGATGGAGGTGCGGGTCTGGTCTCCCTCTTCACTGGGAGTTACGATCTTAACAGTGATTTTTCGCTGCGGACTCGTTATCGTGATTACGATGAGTGCCATCAGACACATGACTATCAGCACAATGAGTGCCATCGATGTGTAATGAATAGGCGTTAGAGTCGATAGAAATGCATTGAAAGCAGTTTTTTGAGGCATAAAGCGATCGCTTTTCAATAAAATGAGTTTTAGCGACAAATTCTGTGCATAAAAGCTCTCGATTCGCAAATATTGTGACTTCAATGCATGGATTTGAGACCTATTATTGATGTCCAGCTGGGGGTCGATGGAGAGGCGACCCTCTCTGACCACCAGTCGTGGTGTTTGTTGTGTGGACTGACTATAAATCACAGGAACGGTGCGCCAGTTCTCGTATTGCACTTTCATCTTATAGTTGCCTTCTTTCACGTTTAGGATACAAATTGTTGACACTATTCCTCCATAATTGCTGCCATCAGTGGTGTGGGAGTTGCCATCAGAGCTGTCACTAGTATCTGACGGGTCGATGAAATTCTTGCGTTTATTTCTCACAGTCTTATCATTCAAATCAGATCTACGATAAGCCGCTGATGGCAATGAGTTATCCATAGACTCCTCAATATGATTGTCAACGATATTCCTATTATTATTATTGTTGTTATGATTGCACGTAATTATGCCTAAACTGATGACAACAGTCGATACATTGGATTCAATAGTATAAGTATCACTGCATTTACAGCTAAAACTCATGTAATGTGCGATTTCTTCATTTAAATAGTCGTCGAAATAATTGGCATAAAACTTATGATTGAGATCATCGGTGCTACCAGTGCTGACACGTCTACTATTCCTGTGCACATTATTGGCCTCGTATTCTGTTTCATAGTTATAGTTATATGAGGGGCCGGCCGGACGTAACTGTCCAATGGATACATCATTAGTCAATGGATTGATGGTATTGTCTTCGCTGACACTGTCGGTGGACGTGACAATCATCTGCATAGTAGTGGGTCGACAGTGGGGTCTCCCAGTGATGAGCACAGCACCGGTAGCCCTGGATAGGGCCACAAACACAAAACAATAGTACCGGAAATTGGCGTCAAAGAAATGACAGTCCAGTTTGAGATAGTTATTGAGCGGTAGTTTGTATTCGCGCACGTAATCCAGTTTCAATGTATTAGTATAATAACGTTGATAATGATTGGACGTATAGACTCTCATTAGTCGCACATACCTCTCATCGGAGATATTAGTAGTGACCAGTATGTCAAACGTGTCCAGACATGGATACACTGACGGATCAGTTCGCATGTCTATTCGTATGGATTTACCTGCGGTTTAGATTAATTAAGAGATTAATTTTTATTTTGGGTGTTTTATTTGCATTTTATTACTAAAAATATCTCATTTAAAGTTAGATTTTTTTGGTTAAAAAGTTTTTAGATTCATTAAAACACAGTTTTATTTGGTGATCAATGACTCGCATGGAAACACTCGACATATAATGATCCGAAACAGTTATAAAACACTTATGGTTTCTCCCATTAGTGCTCATAATTCACGAATTCATTAATCATTTTGTAATTTATTTTTGCATTTGTTTTACGCAAGAATTGTAATATTGTAAAAGTTAATTTAAGAAACTAGGAGTTCATACAGAAATTAATTAAATTAGCGTTTTATCTCAAACACGATGAACTATTTTATAATTATAATGCAAAATGATTAATGAAATTAAGAAATTATAACTGAAATTAAGAATTGAGGAAAACTATTGATTTAAAAATAAAAGGAAACTAAGAACTGATTACAAGACAATTGGTTTAATGAATACATTTTGTGTGAGAAAAGTATATTTTTCATGAAATATAAAATACATGGAAACTATTCTGGTGTTCATAATTCAGTTTTTATTGAATCTAAAATAGTTGTGAAATATATTTATTTGGAAAACTAATATATTCCTCAACATTGGCATTATATGTGAAGGGAATCTCAAAAATGCGATATTTATTATCTCATCACATATTGTCTTATAGTTTTCAATAGAAAATATTAAATATTTAGGATTTTTATGCCATCCTATCAACGGAACCGTATGTTTCGGAGGAAATCTATTGAAAACAAATACAGGATACGAGTCCTCAAACCAGGAGCTCATCGGAAATTTGCATTCAATAGTGTTTGCATTTTAAATACTAATCAATATTTTTATAGTAAACAGAAATATTATTCATAATTTCGTAACTACTAATTAAAAACACAAAAATAAATGTTAATTATTATATAAAATCGATGCAAACATACCGCAAACGACAGTCCAATAAAATAATATTTGCGTTAAATATAACGTTAAATAATAATAATATGCGGACGAAGTTGTTTTGCCATACAATCGATCCATACATACAGACAGTTTTGGGACTAATGTCTGTGTTTCATGTGATACCTGAGCTTCAGCTGCACTGTGAGGCTGCGGATAATCATCTCAATTGCAAAACGCATTCAACACACATGAGACAAATGCATGACAAACGAGTGGAGTATAGTCTCTCTCTCAGCATCACTACTACGGGCTCTCCATCCCTACCATCAATGTGTTGTTGTAGTGTAGGAACGGGTGATGTATTAGAGTAAACATAATCTTATGTAAAGCTTATGTGTGACTGAGAGTAGAGTGAGATTCATAAGGTTTGCGAAAAATTTCGTGTTTGCGTTGCATATATAAAAATCTCAAACACAAAAAATCTCATTACTTTTCTCTGCGGCACTCATGGGCTTGAGTTCACACCGCGTGAACAGAGAGAGCACAGGGAGGACTCGGATTGAGAGATGAAATCTCCATTTAGACGAAAGTAGAGAATTTCGTAGACATGAGTTGTTTTTGTTTCCTAAACACCGGAGAACACAGAATATTCTCGCAGCGCTTGTAAAACAAAAAACACACTGTTTTTCGCTCTTAACTCTGCATTCATTGTACGGATAAACAGTTTATTCACACTTTGAGAATATGTTGAAACTCGCAAACACTCCACTATATACGGCACTCGCAAACAACACGACTGGCCATACATGCCATACCAGAGAGTTAGGTAATAGGGAGAGACAGACAGTCTCTCTCAGTCGACAGTACCAGTGCTGTGACACTCGCTTTATTACCTCTATTCCAACCACACCTGTCGTTATTTCAGGAATCGCCAGATCGATAACCACGTCCTCTCGGCATCGAATAGGAGAGCGCCTACACTCTGTATGCCTGGCAATGATCTGTGAGACCTACCAGTGCTGTAATAGTGGATCCACAAAAACATAGACACACTCTCTCTCACACACGAACCCTCAACTTCTCCACATTTTGGCAATTCCTAACTGTCTGTCTGTCTAACTACCTCTCCCTCTCTTTACATGTCTAACCAAAACTCTCCCTTACTTTCCAATTGAGCTCAACTACTAGAGAATAAACACTAATATTCTGTACATTAAAAATCTCATCAATTTTTCATTATAAGTCTTAAACACTCGACTCTTAGAGTTCACTATAATGTCGATAATGTAAGCAAATGAACGCAACCGTCATTTCCATACCTATTCTTATGATAATATTTTTCTTATCTATCAAAGTATTAACTCTATTAACAAATACCGACTATTCATGAGCTCAATGTGTGTGAGCCATAAGTTCGTGTATTTATCTCTTACTCCATAAGAGTCTGTGATCTCTATTACCGTTATGTGTGTGAAGGATGAGGAGAGAGATACTGTGATCTCTAACTCCCAGTCCTCATCGTTTAGTCTTTAGTATCAGTGCTGTATTGGATGCTGTGATTCAGTATTGATTTTTAACTATAGTTAAGCACTATTTCAAAGGAAATGTACGATACTATTGCTTAAATCAAACACTTGTGTAGCACTGGATTTCTCAGTGCTTTTTAGCACTTTATTAGCGTTTTTAGTACTCTATTAGACGCTATAAAAGTACAGTAAATAAATTTTTAGTAAAAAATCCTCCGATTCAAAGAGCCTTTTATATCTAGTATTAATACATTTTATTGAGTTTGAAATTAAATTATAGCTCTACTGAAGACTTTGTAAATGTTTGGCTTTAGTATTTGATTTTTATACTTTTATGTTTGTTTAAAAGGTTTGTATTTATTATGAACTGATGTATGAAATCAATGAGAATATTCTGGTTCTTGTATGGAGTTATTGCATTGAAAATTAAGATTATATTTTATGACAAACTTATAAGAAATAATTTATTATAGTAAAAGTAAAAAGCAATCTTATTGACATAGAAATTTGCATACATCTACTGTAAATAATAGTAATACTAAATTAAAATTAATAGGTAACTTTCATTTCTAATACAAATATATTTTTAATTAAAGTTTAGTTTTATTAGATAAAGAATTGAATTATAAATGGAAATAAGATTTCAATAGAATTGAAGGCATTATTCACTCACTTATGGCTCAGTATTACATGAATTGTCTCACATTTAAACCATTATTCAAATCAAATACCAGTCAATCAATACATACCTTACTATACGTCTAACAACTACTGCAAGACGTCTGGACTCCAGATGACCGTCGACTACAAGTTTGGCGGACTTTATGGCAGCTATAGGTCTACTGGAGTCACCCTTTCCTGGGATTTACATACGATTGAGGGGAAGGAGCGGACGGTTGATGTCGTGTCCGATATCCCATTCAGTGCCTATCGGTGTGTATGTCGGGTGACCTGTCTTTCGTTTGGCGGACGGGTTGGTCACCAACTCAAAGACATTGTCTCACCTCTGGAGCGCATGTGAGGAGAGGGACCGATAGATTCCGACACTAAGAGTACAGTTCCTCTGAATGTGGCGGACATTAACTGATGGGAAGTACTTATTACTGATGGAAGCGTCGGAATAAGAAGCGAAAGTTCAATGATATGGCCGCTCAGTGACCGGCCGGTGATGTCTTCGTGAAGACCTTCCATCTCATCGATGGTGTCATTCGTGTCAAGACGTGAGGTCCAGACGAACAGCCGTTCAATGAGTTTGTAGTGACTGTTGAGTACACTTCGACCCAAGACTTGACAACTGGTGTCAACAGCACTGGTGTTGGCGTCCAGTCATACCAATCGAGTCGTGTATGGAGTCGTCGATCGCCTGACAATCGGTTCTCGTCTTCGGAGGCCACGAGTGTTGAGAGGAAGGGATGGAATGGTAGACAACATAAGACAATACAACACATCCAACGGTTAGACAAGTGTTGGAGTGTTATGTCGTGCGATGGGTTTGTAGACAAGGGATCCGTTGAGTCGAAGACTACTCTCTGCTGGGGCTGAGAGTCATTGTCTGTCATCGATGGTCGTGGCGTCCAAACTGTCACCGACGACACCAAAGGTATTGTCTTATGGTTTGCTTCCGATGTCTTGAGCGGTAGGTCTCCTGTGATTCAGTGACTCGTCTCGTGTGGTGAGAGTCATCGTCGGGTCATCGATGGGTCGCTTATCTCAAGACTCTTCTGCAAACCGTTGCCCTCTCTCTGTGTGTCTTCCGAAGGCGGGAACTCCTCGTCGTTTGAAAGACGGCTCCAAACACGACACCAATGGTATGGCCGGACGTTAGTACCAGTGCTGTCACCACCAGTAGGTCTTCGTCTCGAAGTCTCAAAACATTGAGCGCCAGTTCCTCCAGAACTCGTTGTCTTCACACCAATGGCACCACTGATGAGATGTCTGGTCAGCACTGGGACCCCACCAGTGATCTAAGGTCTCCGTCGAGCCATACCATCGAATGATCACTTCTTAAGCAATACCTGAAACCAATCGCATGTCTGTTGAGAAGGGAATAGAAAAGAGTTGTTAGTATTCGTCGATTGGAAGTAGTCTTGAGATGTGAGACACGGAAACACATGAAATACTGAGTCATAAGTGAATGAATGTCTGATCCGGTGATCAATTGTCGACTGAATATTAGTTGAAATAAAGTTTTTATGATTTAATTGTTTCTATTGTTTGCGCAAAGTTTTTCAAAAGTTTCCGAAAAATAAACTTTTTGTGTGAATGCATTCAATGCTATTGCTATTGAATGAAGACGCTGTCTCCACGCTAATGATGTTCATTTCATCGGTTTTTTGAATATCACTCAGGGTCATTTGCTGGACATATCAGACTCGAAAGGCGTACCGTTATGTCCAACTTTTACACCAGGGGTCTATTCGGACATTATTAGAGATCTAAGCTTAGATAATTCACTGTAATTTATATAATATATAGTACCGCATATAGGTGTATTATAAACTTATTGAATGAGAATGATAAAACTTAATTAAACAAGATTACTTAATTGATAGATTATTAATCTATCAAAAGTTTTTACACTTTTTAAGTTATCACAATTTATACCTTATAAATCGTACCTGTTTGTTAAATATCTACCGTAAATAAAATCACAATAGGTAAATTTGTTATTTAAATAAAATAATTACCAGTATCTATATTATAACATTAATTATAAGTGCTTTATTCATCAAACGAATAAACAAATTATTTTTAGTAATTTTCCACTTGTACATAGATATAAAAATCCATTTAAAACTAAAATCTTTTATTAATAACATTTATAATCAATAAATTTTACATAAAATATAAATTATAACATTTATTTGATGTCGTGTAGACCACAAACCAGATTATTGGGAACAGCTATATCTATACAGTATTTGAAGCATGATAAATCAATTAATTAGTTAATTTTATAATCTAATTGACACACAAATAGTGTTTCAGTATATTTTTTCAGACCATACTTACCAATCATTTTAGGCAAATCCAGTTTAAGGTTAGCCATAATGTCTATGAACTCCTCCTTTGATTTGGTTAGCCGTGGATTAAACCGCTTTTCCTCGGACACAGTCGACACCAATTGTCCTGAAAAGTAAAATTTTATTTTTAAAAATAAATATAATTCTCAAATCATTTTCATTATGTTATTAAACAAACCCTTATAGTCATGAGCGGGAAGTACGTAAAAATTGTCGGGTAATGTAAATATCTTTTGATGTATGGACTCGTATAATAGGCCAGAATCACCTGGAACCAATCACAATGACAATAAATATAAAATTAACTTCACTATTAATTGTGCTGTAAATGACAATACCCTGTTGAAAGTCCGTACGCCCACACCCTCTTATAAGTAGGGCATCGCCGGTAAATACGAGTCCATTATCGGTGTCCACGTATGTCACACAACCAGATGTATGGCCTAATGGGCAGTCAGTTAATAGGTTTAGAAATTTAATTAAAATCTAGCAATGAATGCAATACCAGGTGTGGCCACGACTTTCAATTTGATGGCCAGGGGCGTTCACTAGTGTAGCAATAGTAGCTGAAACTACAGTCGGAACCGAGGTGAGTTGAGGCTCTATTATGAGAACTGTCACCCAACCCTCCCCAACCGCAATTCAGCCCAGAATTATTCAGGCCAGCCCGTGATGTGGTCGGCGTGACAGTGAGTGTTGGCCACGTATTTCAACTGCATATCAGTGCCATTATTAGTGTTTAAATGCAATTAAATAGCGGTAAAAAAGTTATTTTCAATTCATTTACGTTAAGTCCGAGCTCTTGAACGGTCTGCAAATCCCTGTCCACGCACTCGAGCACCGGATCAATAAGGATGGCCTCTTTGGTCACCTTATCGGCCAATAGGTAGGTATATGTGCACGATATTCTGTCAAATAGCTGGGTGATTCAATAGTTTGTGTTAATTGTATGCACTTTTGGTTTTGGTTTAATCATTACCTGACGAAAGAGCACTCGTTTCCCAATTAGACTCATAACTGGTCTCAAAAGTAGTTGAGTTTTTTTGATGAGTTTAAAAGTTTTTGAAACTAATTTATTTCAAGTGTTAAGTTATATAACTTATTCAATAAGTCTTATTGCATTCAAGTGTTATAACAATTATGTGTAAGTTTGCAGTTCAAAGTCAATTATAAATTCATGATTTCAGTGGATGTGTTGAATGAGTGAAATATATTTGCTATTTAAAGGCAATCCCTGCCAGAGTTTCCCTGGTATTTGTATCCATCACGTACTACATTGAGATAATCAGGTTGTCGAGGACATTGTAGTTAAATAAATACAAACCGCACTAAAACTGCACTCAATTCAGGGGAACACTGTATTAAAGGTCGCAAATATTGTACAATAAATACAATACACTATAATTTAATTTCAATGCATTGTTGCATAATTATATCCAGTATTATATTTGTCAGGTATTATTCTCGATAAAAGTCTTATACTTATACAAAATGTCAATTTAATATTACCAGATAATAAGATGATTTAACCAGTAATACCTTGATAAGTTAATGGGATTCTCGGATAACTCTTTAGCCAGACATTTGAGTAAACATATTATGTAATGTTAAATAAACTACATATATAAATAACGGCAACTATCTAGATAAGTTAAGATTAAGAGATATGATTAGGGTGTATTTGGTTATGTGATTAAAAATTAAATTTTTGTTTAATTAGTTTATTTATGAAAGTTTTGTGTAGTTTTAGAAAGTTTTTTGTTGCAAAAGTTTTTAGAACCAGATTAACCAGGTTAAGTTACAGTTAGTCTACTGATCTGTTTTAAATTATAAATACTTAATTAAAATTAAATATGGATAGGAAGGGTGGTGTGGAAATGGACGTAGCGTTTTCATGTTACAGTATAATGTATAAATATTTTTTATCAATTAATCTAAACTAATTTAATTACATTAAAAGTTAACATTAGAAATTTAAATGCCACAAAAAATTTGATTCAATCAATTGGAAAACCATTTTATATAAATTACTTACTATTGACTAGCATTGAGTTATGTAGCATAAAAAGGGCATAAATTGTATTGACCTAATGTTGTGAACAGAAAACACGTGTTTGTGTTGTGTATTGAACATTGACTGCAAATCATATCCAATTGAAAACCAAAACCGCATTTAATTGTCGTTAAAAACTAATCATTAAATTAAACACAACTTTGGACTCAATTTATTAATACATCGGAACCAATGGGTCGACGGAAGCGAAAGGTATGTCAAACGTCTGGAGCCTTAAATGGCCGCAAATGTGGTGATAATAAACTGATCTCTCGTTTTGTTTGACGGAAACCGCAGTCCAAGAAGGGGTCGAAAGGAGGGGCCGAAGAGCCGGAAGCGCTGACCAAAGCTCCGCACAGTTTTGTCATCAAAAGGGGAAAAGTGGGCAAAAATGTGAACGAATTGATGGTCAACTTTCGCCAAGTGCTGGAACCGTTCACAGCG